TTTATATGGATACAAAAGGCACCTGCGTGGGATAATGTCACGTTTCATAGATACTGCTTTGTGCTAAGTGTGACTTTGTGGTTATTATGATGTTTGTGTGTCTTTTTTCTGCAGAATGGTTATAAATAATATAAATGTTATGCAAAATAGCAACTCATTGTTTTCAAGTTGATTTAGCACCTACATTATGTAAAGATACTCTTAAATCTGCAGGGGGACTGGGACTACGCAGGGAAGATGAGGTCAACCATATACTCTCTACTGCTTTGAATTGTACATATACATTTTCCATTTGAATACTTGGCACGTGTAGGGCACTTAAAACATTTCTGCCGAATGGATGAATTAAGTGGTATCAAAAAGTGCCCTGGCCCTGAAAGGCAAGATAGAGTTCTGTGGAGTAGGGGTCATGGTGACCCTGTTGGAGCAGATACTAAAGTGGTGGTGACTGTGGACAGGCAAGTCCCACTTTGGCCCTAGTCTACTTTAGCTGGGGAGTGAACAGAGGGAACTGAGGCTGGATTCTGATGCTCATCTTTGAAGGCTGGGCTCTGCTGGAGGACTGATTTCGAATGATGTTGAACGATTTTGACAAGATTAAATAGATTTAGTTGATGGTGGCATGCAGGACTAATTTGATGAAAGAGTAGCACAGTTGTGAAGGTGAAACTGAAAGGAAGATTTGTGGGGCTTTTAACAGTCTCAGGGTGTTGTGGCTGTGGGAGAAGAATTAACATGAATGGAGGGTGTAAAGAAGCCTATCAGATTGTGTTTGATCTGCACAGTACTGGGGAGTCCCATGTGGGAGCCGGGTAGGCAGCAGTCTACAAAGCTCAGAGCTTGAAAGACAGCTTGAAAGAACAACACAGTGAAAAGTTACGGTGTCTCTAGTTGAGATTTTCTAAACATCAGAACTGATGTGAGGTACCTAATTTCATAAAAAGTGGAATTTAATCTATACTAAGTGGAAACAACTCTGTTTGCAGCTCTGACTTGCTGGTCCTCTGTTTTTGCTTTTGTTTTACGTTTGACATTTTTTATTTTTTATTTCTTGCCTGTTTACGGTAGAGACTAGAATTCTGCACGGCAGAAGACAACAGTTTCTCCCCTGCTGCAGACCTGGTCCAGTTCTGAGTCCAGGGGTGATAGTTAAGGCCAGGGCTTGGGTGGTTTGATGTGAGTCCTAGGAATAGGAGTTTCACTCTGCTTTGGTAATTCTCGGGCTGAGGGATGCTGATGAGACCCTCTAGAATGTTTCTTGGTTCATGTTGAAGTTGGAGATTTCTTGCTCTGTCAAGAAGACTGTCAGCCTGGGCAACATAACGTGACATTATCTCTACTGAAAAAGAAGAAAGAAAAAAAAAAGCCAGGTGTAGTGGCACACACCTGTAGTCCCAGCTACTTGGGAGGCTGAGGCAGGAAGATCTCTTGAGCCCTGGAGATTAAGGCTGCAGTGAACTATGATTGCACCACTGCACTTCAGCCTGGGTGACAGAGAGAGAAACCCTGTCTCAAAAAAAAAAAAAAAAAAAGAGTGCTGGGTGTGGTGGCTCACCCTGTAATCCCAGTGATTTGGCAGGCTAAGGCCGGAGGGATTGCTTGAGCCCAGGAATTCAAGACCAGCCTGGGCAACATAGTGGGACCCTGTCTCTACTGAAACATTAAAAAAAGAAAAAAGAAAAAAAAAAGAAAAAAAGTCAAGAAGACTCAAACTTGTGGCTGTTACAAAGGTTTTGGGATTAAGATTGGGTTACGGCTCTCTGAGATCCTCTGGACCAGTACTACTCAATAGAAATAGAACGAGAGCTTCCTATATTGAAAATTTTCTAGTACCTACATTAAAAAAAGGCAAAATAAATGGGTGAAATTAAATGGAAATAAGATACACTCAAGATACCATAGTTGTAATTGTAATATATGATCAATATATAAATTATTGGGCTGGACACAATGGTTTATGCCCATAATCTCAGCACTTGGATCACTTGAGGCTAGGAGTCTGAGACCAGCCTGGGCAACATAGCAAGACCCTGCCTTTACCAAGAAAGAAATTATAAATGAGAGATTTTATATAGTTTTTTCATACTATGTCTTCAAAATTCAGTATGTCCTTTACACTTACAGCACATCTCAGTTTGAACTGACCACATTTCACATCCTTTGTAGCCACATGAGGCTGGTGGCTGCTGTATTGGATGGTTCTGCCACAGAGCAAGACTTTTTAAAATGGTCTTTTTTTTTTTTTTTTTTGAGACGGAGTCTCGCTCTGTCGCCCAGGCTGGAGTGCAGTGGCTGGATCTCGGCTCACTGCAAGCTCCGCCTTCCGGGTTCACGCCATTCTCCTGCCTCAGCCTCCTGGGTAGCTGGGACTACAGACGCCTGCCACTGCGCCCGGCTAACTTTTTTTGTATTTTTAGTAGAGACGAGGTTTCACCGTGGTCTCAATCTCCTGACCTTGTGATCCGCCCGCCTCAGCCTCCCAAAGTGCTGGGATTACAGGCGTGAGCCACCGCGCCTGGCCTGGTCTTCATTTTTTTGTTTGTTTGTTTGAGACGGAGTTTTGCTCTTGTTGCCCAGGCTGGAGTGCAGTGGCGTGATCTCGGCTCACTGCAGCCTCTGCCTTCTGGTTTCAAGCTATTCTTCTGTCTCAGCTTCCTGAGTAGCTGGGATTACAGGTGCCCACCACCAGGCCCAGCTAATTTCTGTATTTTTAGTAGAGACATGTTGGCCAGGCTGCTCTCTATCTCCTGACCTTGTGATTCGCCTGCCTCGGCCTCCCAAAGTGCTGGGATTACAGGTGTGAGCCACTGCACCCGGCCAATTGTCTTCATTTTTAGGAAAGTTTTAGGTTCATGGCAAAGTTGAATGGAAAATACAAAGAATGCCCATGTTCCCCTGTTCCCACACACGTATAGCCTCTACTATCGATATCCTGTATCAGGGTGGTACATTTGTTAGCGCTGATGGACCTACATTGACACATCATTATCACTCAAAGTCCATAATTTACATTAGCATTCACTGTTAGTGTTGTACATGGATTTTGACAAATATATGGCATGCATCCACCATTACAGTATCATATAGAATCATTTCACTGCCTTAATAATCCTCTTTGCTCTACCTGTTCATTTCCTCCTCCCCTGAATCCCTGATCTTTTTGCTGTCCCCGTAATTTCGCCTTTCCCAGAATGGTATGAAGTTGGAACTCTGCACTATGTTACCTTTTCAGTTGGCTTCTTTCACTTAGCAATGTGCAATTTAGGTTCCTCTGTGTCTTTTCATGGCTTGGTGGCTCATTTTTTTTCAGTGCTGAATAATATTTCATGTCTGAATGTACCAGTTTATTTCTAGAGCAATACTTTTTACAAACCAGCATTATACCCCATCAGTGGGACAAATTGGGGTGGGGAGGCTGTCTGAGAGTTGTGAGTGTGAGGGAAGTGGAAGGTCTTTGACTGACTTCACTGTGCATAAAAAGCTTCTGTGAGCATCAAGAAGAGGGGAGTGGTCTAGGGGAGAGCCCAGGATGAGAATCTTGCAAAAATACATCCTTCATCACAACTAAAGGCAAATCCTCTCCTCTTACATTTCCCCACTTTCTTTTTTTTTTTTTTTTTTGAGAGGGAGTCTGGCTCTGTCGCCCAAGCTGGAGTGCAGTGGCCGGATCTCAGCTCACTGCAAGCTCCGCCGCCCGAGTGTACGCCGTTCTCCTGCCTCAGCCTCCCGAGTAGCTGGGACTACAGGCGCCGGCCACCTCGCCCGGCTAGTTTTTTGTATTTTTTAGTAGAGACGGGGTTTCACCGTGTTAGCCAGGATGGTCTTGATCTCCTGACCTCGTGATTCGCCCGTCTCGGCCTCCCAAAGTGCTGGGATTACAGGCTTGAGCCACCGCGCCCGGCCGACATTTCCCCACTTTCTTCCCACACCAGGCTTGGGATCTGCTTAGTCCAAAATGTTCCTATAAGTTAGCAAATATCTATGTCAAATACTCTCGCCAAACCAGTTTTATGAAAATACTTAGACTAAGCAAACTGAAGAGAATAGAAAACTGAATTTGCATATGTGCAGTTTCCTTGATCAAAGAATGTTAAGGAAAAAGAGACCAAAGCAGGAGTCGCTGCAATTTAAATGCCGTTCCTGTCTATTTCAGGACGCAGCTCTACTCTATTTTCTTTATTTTTGGGGTGATTATGTTGATGACCTGTCTTGTCTCTGTTGAGATAATTTATCACGAATTGAGCACTCCTTATTGGCAGGGATTGGGCGTATCAGTTCCGAGAACTGTATGATTGCAAAGCTGGAAAGCCGATTCATCAGGCTGTCGTTTTGCTGCCCCATTAAGTATATTAACTGGAAGAAGATGACTTCATTTCAGCCATTTCGAATCTTAAATACAACAGATTCAATTCTTTATGGAATGAGTTAAGGTCAGAAAATCTGTCCATCGTCTTTCTCATAAATACTTTAATATCTTCCAAGTATCATTGGACTAAGAAAGTAATTATGGGTAATAATAAAGGTTCCAATTAAGAATTAGGGCAACATGAAAATGCCACTAATTTCAATTTACGTTGTAGCTTTCAGGTCCTTCTCAATATATTTAATTACTTATGGGAAATACAGAAGTAGTGGCTGGTTTGGCAAGCCCATCACCTTTTATGAGAAGTAGAAGTCTCAGTTTTATCCTGTCTGAACAGGTTGCATTAGCCACGGGGAACATTTTGTTTTTGTATTCACAAATCAGTCTCCCCAGGTTCTGTTTACACAGAGGAGGAGAAAGACTGGCTAGTTTAGTAGTCCATGCCAACCCAAGGCAGACCATCTCTGAGCTTTAGTTTTTTTCAATCATAAGATGAGAATTGCATCTATTTGCAAAAATTACTCTAATATCCTCAGATGAAATGGTCCAAGGAGTAGAAATTAGCATAATGAATCGCTGTGCTTCAGAGTAAAGGAAAGCCTCTTCATAAAGACTTTTTGATGTACTTTTTTTCCAGCTTCCTTCAAAATGTCTACTGTTCATGAAATCCTGTGCAAGCTCAGCTTGGAGGGTGATGTAAGTATATCAGTTTCACTTTATGTAATTTTTGCAAGTTGGACATCTCTGGATAACTATCTTACTCTCTTTCCTTGTACATCTAAGGAAGATGGGGACGTTTCAGACAGTCATCATTTGGTTCTCCTCTTTCTCAATACTTCAACTGTTCCTAGTAGTTCAATTTGAAGGAAATATCATGGCACTGGAAACTTTTCTTGGCCTCACATTAAAATTGGACAGAATTAGTGACACTGGAATGGCTGGAATTTTATTCTGCCATACTTAACATGTCATTGGTAATCATTGTTATGATGATACATGACTTTTAATGTTATGTCCTGGGATTGTATTACTGGTTGGCATAAGCCACAGCCATGTCAAAAATAATTCTGCATCTTTTGGATTTCTTACAGTGTCCAGGAAGTTATTCCAGATGAGGGCTTATACTTTTATTTATTTATTCATTTATTTTTTGAGACAGAGTCTCACTCTGTTGCCAAGCTGGAGTGTAGTGGCACGATCTCGGCTCACTGCAACCGCTACCTCCCGGATTGAAGCGATTCTCCTGTGAGTAGCTGGGACTACAGGCGCGCACTGCCACACCCAGCTAATTGTTGTATTTTCAGTTGAGACTGGGTTTTCCCCATGTTGGCCAGGATGGGCTTGATC